AGGGATAGAGAGAGAGAGAGTGAAGGAAAGTTGAAAATGCTTCGTGTTTAGAACACTAAAACACACAAGGTATTTTCAACTTTCCTTCTCTTATTCATTATAAATTATGAATTTTAGTTTTTAACCATGAAAATGGGTTCTCCCCTTCATCTCTGATTAAACAGTGTTTAGTGCCTTGCAGTACTGAGCAGTCATCAAGTTGATGACAACTGGGAAAATAATAGACAGCGAAGAAAGATCAGAGTTAGGAATTAGAAAATTGGTGTCGTTGCATAAGATGAGGAGCATCAATTCACACTCATTCACTGGTTGCATCAATTCGGCTCTAATAGCTGCATGAAAGGATTATTAGACAAGGCCTGCAGCTTTTATCGTTATTCAAAACAAGTACATATAGGCATAGTGTTGTTTTCCAAAGAGACAACATTATCAAGATCATTGCAGAGCAAATGCCACTTCATTTGTTTGTTAGTTTTCTTGGTCTTTGGTCCAGTCTTCTTGTTTTGCAAGCATTGTATAGATAGATGCCGGTAGATGGACATTGCGACGGATTAATTTAATGCAATACTCCAAAGAGACAACATCATCAAGAATATTGTAGAGCAAATGCCACTTCATTTGTTTGTTAGTTTACTTGGTCTTTGGTCCAGTTTTCTTGTTTTGCAAGCATTGTATAGATAGATGCCGGTAGATGGACATTGCGACTGATTAATTTAATGAAATGGGTACTAACTTTCTAGAGGTAAAAAAAAAAAATGAAAAACAAGGAAAGGTCAATGACCATGAGACTTTGTCCAGAGTATTGTTGATAACCAGAAATTGTTCACATACCTAAAGTAAACACAGTTTTCATTTATGGCCTCTATCCTGGCAAGAATCCATCATCTAGCTAGGCTTACAAGGTATTTAATACCTCTCTAACTACAAGTATAACCTTACCAATATAGCACTTTGGTTAATTAATTAGAGATTCGAGGCGCATACGAACAACGTTTTCTAAACAATGAATATATGCAGTTTTCTAAACATTTAAGGCTATTGCTACTTTCATTTTTCATACAGAAAAGCACTTCTATATATTATCCAATTGCATTTAAGGCTATTGCAACTTTCATTTTTCATACACAAAAGCACGTTTCTCCCATGGTTATCAATCTCAAATACTTTGACAACTTCTATTGACGACAAACACAGCATTATCAATTTCATATTCTACTCATTATCACAACCACCATAGTCTCTTTATAAAAGCCATCCCCTAACACAACAGCATCATACGAAACACATAAAATCTATACCCAGAGCCATTTCATACATCTTCCACCCTATGGCTAACCAACAAGACCCACCAAGCCACGGCATAAATGACCTCACAAAACAAGCACAAGTTGTTGTGGTCATGGTGCCCCTTCCAGCACAAGGCCATCTTAACCAGCTCCTCCAACTCTCTAGGCTCATCCTATCCCACAACATCCCGGTCCACTACGTTGGCGCCACCACCCACAATCGTCAGGCCAAGCAGCGCGTACACGGTTGGGACCCAAACGCCGCTGCAAATATCCATTTCCATGATATCGAAATCCCTCCATTTCATTGTCCACCGCCCAATCCAAAAGCCAAAATCAAATTCCCTTCTCACTTACAACCAGTCTTCAACGCCTCATCTCAACTTACCGAGCCTGTTTCTATGCTTTTACGAGCATTTTCTTGCAAAGCAAGAAAGGTTATTGTAATTCATGACTCTTTAATGGGGTCTGTGATTGAAGAAGCTCGTTTCCTCTCGAATGCCGA